TCCTATACCTGCATATATTTATGAATTTTAAGTTTGTTTTAAAACCTAGTTCCTCTAATAACAGGTTTATCACAGAGACAGCTATTTGATAGACACACCGGTACCATTCTTTTGATCACGGGTCTGAGGTTATACTGCAGTTACTTTTCAACGGTTATATAAAGTAACACTTCCAAAAAAGTAAGCCTGTATACTAATGGAGGACTGTTTTTATCGCGCGTTCCACAGGCCTCCCTCCGCTTAACAGTCACACTATAACCATAAATATTGACTTCATCAATACCCCAACCAAAACAAATTGAACGTAACGCAAAGTAGTGCAAAGTAAACAGGGGAAACAATCATTTGTTTTTACTTCTGATCGTGTCCCATTGATTTCGGTATGTTTACAAAAAGGCGGCTGAGACCCATTCATTTAGTCATATGTCACGTTTTGCATAACGTTTTTATTAATGTTTCATATTACTTTTAATAACTGCTGAATGCTTTCCCTGTTAGAGGGTACAATGACATAAACCAGTGAAAGTAATGGAACGTGTCATATATTTATTCCGATATTAATCAAAATATATGTGGCTCACATTTTCACTTTTTGTTGAAAGTTTTCTCACATCGAACTTGATTGGGTTGGAGTGTCTACATCTGTAGCGGTGTTTTAAAGGGTCATAATTAAAGTGACCAATTTTTGAGATAGCGTTATGCGGGACTTCTTGCTACAGATGAGATGCAAATAAAACGGTATAATGATCGACGTGAAAATGCATTTAATCTATAATGTATATATGATTCGAAATCATCAACATCGGATTACTTAAAATAACCATCCAAAGATCATGTACATTACGGCGCGTACACCACACAATTCGTTTGATTTGTGGTTTTTAATGAACTTAAATATAGATGCTGCGATAAAGACCATTCAACTGAATAAGATATATATATATATATATATATATATATATATATATATATATATATATATATATATATAGGGCGNTCTTAACCGACCAAGCTAGATAGTCACGAAACACGATAAAGTATATCAGTAGAAAGGCTCAACTTGACTTTTTTTTATTTCAAATCGTTATTTGATAACATAATAGTTGCTATGCCCTTATGCTCCCCCTCCCACCCTGAACTCTTGTAATAAATAGTCTTTTTTTTTTTCATATGAAAGATGAGAGCGTAAATTAACTTATCACAACCGCTCACGTTTTGCATAACGTTTTTATTAATGTTTCATATTACTTTTAATAACTGCTGAATGCTTTCCCTGTTAGAGGGTACAATGACATAAACCAGTGAAAGTAATGGAACGTGTCATATATTTATTCCGATATTAATCAAAATATATGTGGCTCGCATTTTCATGTTTGGTTGAAAGTTTTCTCACATCGAACTTGACTGATTGGGTTGGAGTGTCTACATCTGTAGCGGTGTTTTAAAGGGTCATAAAGTGACCAATTTTTGAGATAGCGTTATGCGGGACTTGCTACAGATGAGATGCAAATAAAACGGTATAATGATCGACGTGAAAATGCCTTTAGTCTGTTTTTATGCTTTCCATGTACGCACATCTACTATAATGTATATGATTCGAAATTATCAACATCGGATTACTTAAAATAACCATCCAAAGATCATGTACATTACGGCGCGTACACACAATTCGTTTGATTTGTGGTTTTTAATGAACTTAAATATAGATGCTGCGATAAAGACCATTCAACTGAATAAGATATATATAGGGCGAAAAAGAAATTGAGACGTCCCTGGAGTCGAGACAAGAATCCCGATTCTGTAATAACAGCTAGGTTTGTCTCTTTTAAATTAATTTGAATTGTGCTCTATAACAAGAGAGGCAGTCAATGTGAGGGTCGGTGGCACTTTTAATGGTGGGGATCGAGTATTTAAATTCAGAGATTTCGGGCATGAAAGAAAATGTTGTGGTTTCCAGGGGTCAGTTTGTAAGATCAAAATTCAGGCCAGGGCGCTGTTCTGAATCTTTCCCTTGAAGTGGTAAATTGAAACGGGGATGTTAGCCTTTAATTTTGCCCAAGGGAGTACGGCGTTGTGTAACAGTAAATTGCATTGGTATGCATACTTATACTACGTAGTTATACTGGATCTGTCCTCTACCATTAGTCTATCAAATCGCCACAATGTCTTTGGTCAGATCACTGGGTTTTCATGATATTCCCTTCACTGTACGCTCCTAAAGCAATACAATTGGGATGCTAAGTTGTCATCCTGTAGCAAAACATCACTTGAACATTATCTGAATGATATGGGATATACAGCTTGTGAAAGCCTAGGTATAAATACCAACAAGGTATGCAGCACATCTCTAAACCAGCCCCGTCAATCAAACACACATTATGGTCAGTTGCGTCTTAGTTTAAATGCAGTCAAACAGGCAAATAGGCTTTAATTACGAATACATTGCTCGTTTATTAATAAACTTTGTTTGTTTTAGATCCGCTGATTCGAAAATAATATAATCCACTCCTACTACTTGCACAAAACGCCTATATTTTGGCAGTTTTATAGTGACCATACCAGTCCAGTGGACATTTAGGAAATTCAGGGGAATAAACGCGTCCATATGAAGAGCTTATACTAACTTGAAACGGAATAAAGAACGCACGATCATGACAGTGAGTGAGTATACCCCCCCCCCCACCACATGCACACAATCACCCACGAATGTAACTGTCTTGAAAACAAGAGGCAGAGAACGCCATAAATATTTTAGTAGTATTAAGCATCCTAAAGGTAGTCACGCAGAAAAACTTTTTTGTTCTTTAAAAAATATGAAAATATATTATAGCAAATACAGACTTGACATTTAATATGGAATATTTCAGTTTCAACGGTATGCTTAGGTAAAAATGCGTTCTTTTTCATAAAACTCAGATCTCATATAAGATATCTGACTGGAGAAATGTGAAGTCAGGTGTGTCGCTACCAATTAACTGACTACCAAGTCTGTTGCACTGCTGCATTGTGTAATATGCAGTGATTTAAGTGGGTAGTGCTCCTTTGGCCTGTTCTAAGCTGGGCTTTGGCGAAGCATGGTTCCGTCAAAAAAGTATCCATATGTCGGCAACTACTGCATAGAAGAATTTGAAATTTTGCATGTAAGCGGTCGGTTTTGCAGTGCGTAAAATGAGTTCAACAATGTTTAAAAAAATTGTTAATCTGTGTCAGAATGGCGCGAAAAAGATAGACATTGCCAGACAGATTATTGTGTCAAACGGAATGGTTTGCACAGTTCCATGGAGTTATGCCCAGACTGATGTACCTGCACAGAAACCACGCCCAATGTATTGACATCTTACCACCAGGGCACAGGACTCATTGTCCTTCAGGATATGCTGCTGCAACTAAACAAAAGCCACCCAGTCCGTTCAGAATGAGGGGCAAATTGTGACCAAAACGCGTTTTTCAAGGCTCTTAGTGAATACCAAACTGGTTTTAGCAGGTTAGAATACCAAACGACCTCTGAGGAAGGCACTGTAACCAGCAAAACAGCGTCGTCAGTTTCTCTAATGAATTGAGGACTATGACCGTTTCTGGGTAGAACATTGAAACCGCGTGGCTTTCTTTATTGAGGTCAGATTTCACTTGTACTGCTTAACTGGTCACAGCAGAGTTTACAGACATCTTGAAGTGGCCTACGACAAGGCGTGTGCCTCTTTTAAAGTGACCAGGGTCATTGGCAGCGTCAGTATTTGGAGTGGATACCACATTGGTGCCAAAACACCAATGGTAGTCATTGATGAAAACCTAAACCAGATGAAATAAAGGAATGATCTGGGAACCATTTGACTATCATTTGATAGGGGGCACCTTAGGAACAATTTTAGGTTGCACGATGAGATTCTCCGTTCACACAGAGCACTTTTAATAGCAGATAACTTACAGAGCCAAGGGATTGAGCAGATACATTGGTCATCAAAATCGCCATATTTGAACCACATAGACAATACGTTGGTAGGTTATTACTCAAAGAATCAACGGCCTTCATGTCCTACAACAAATCTGAACCAAATTGGACAAGTTTTGACCGTTGCCGGGATTTTTTTTCCAGACTAAACTCTAAAAACCTATTCTAAGGAACGCCTTGCCGCTTGAAAGCTCTGGTAGCAGCCAGATGAGGTCAGGAGTAACAGCGACCGTTGCTATGACAAGACACTGACATGAGGGTCCTTTGTGGGGCATGTAACTCTTTTAAAGACGATAATTTGGAAAATATGGAGATCCAAAATATCGCTTTCAATGGTTGTCGTATGACTTAGAATAGGCAATGCATTTTTGTTTGCTTCACTGGCGAATTCTATTAATGAACTGATGTCACAATGACATCAAAGAGATAAATAAAAGTTATTAAAACATGATTTTAATCCTTATTTTCATTTATCAGTCAGCAAAATAGGAAAAAACTGATGAAAAATAATTTGGAAAAAAATATTCCATATTAAATGTCAAGTCTGTATAATACAATTTTAAATAATTGAAATGCATTTCTTTCTAACATTCAGTTTACGTACGTTTTTTTGGTAGCCTCTGAAAGTTTTAAAGCTCAAATATTGGATACCATAATAGAGTCAGCCAAGGACACGTTTGGGGAACACGTTTGAACTCGTAATGATGGACATTTACAGGTGTAGGACCAGTACAGAGCTTCTTGTGAACAGTTTAGAACCATGGGACCGAACTTGATTTGAGGACCAGAAAAGAGGCTTAACANAATCTGTCTGTATTGTTTAGTTATTTTGTTGTACTACTAAAATATATTGAAGTGTTGCACTATAAGGTTTTAGGTTTAATTATGAAGTAGATTTCTGTTTGTAGATAAAACTCCTGTTATTATAAGCATTTATACTCTCTAGAATATACAATTATGCTTAAGTAATTTTTTTTCTCATTTAATGGCATATTTATTAAATTTTTTTACCAAATTATACAGCCAATACAGTAAAGGCACCTGTGTAAGGTTTGCTGGAAGTGGAAAAGAGGAGAATCGTAACAACAGCTACCCAGTCCGTGCTTGTTTTGCACAGCCTTCAGGTCTTGCCTTAGATTCCACTAACAATCTGCTGTATGTGGCAGATAGTGAGAGCTCAACAGTGCGTATGATCTCCCTGCAAGATGGTAGTGTAAAGGCACTTGTTGGTGGGGAAAGGGATCCTATGGTATGTGTCAGTATGCCCTTTTTAAATAAAACAAAAACATGTTGAAAAAGACAACATAAGATATTTCATGTTGAAAGTTCATCACACAACTTCAGTTTACAAGATCTGTAGAATACGAACATTTCTCTGACAAATACTAAAAAAAAGTTTTGATATGATACCTGCTTGGGGAGAAAAAAGGGAATGTATACATTTCTAGCAAAAAGTTTAAAAGTTTTCAATCAAAGCCTCCTTTATGAAATTTAACATGTTACACATGCTTCAAATCAAAATGATACATTATTATTGCTAGGGCTGGAACATCAAACATGAAATTTTTCTATCCTTGTTGAAATAAAATAAATTGATCAATTTTCAAAGAAATTAATATTCTTGCCAACCTTTCAGAATCTGTTTGCCTATGGAGATGTAGATGGTAAGGGTGTTGATGCCAAGCTGCAGCATCCTTTGGGTGTGGCTATGTTTGGAGAAGACCAGGTGGCAGTGGCTGACTCGTACAACCACAAGGTTTGTTCTGGACCATGCTTGCTTACAGAGCAGGGCACCTGAGTTCCAAGTAAAGACCTCTACTTCATCTGTTGTAAATCCAATATGTATGTCCTGGCATTGAGTACTGTAGAATACAGAAAAGCTGGTGATTTTACAAGTACATTAGAAACAAGCGAAGTCCAGTGGAGTTAGCATGCAGTAACTAGGCGGATAAAATCCATTGTGAATGGTCCCTTACAGAGATTTCTTTTGCAGTTAATGTAAATGTAGCCGATGTAACTATGAAAATTGCCATCACCTGTTTATAAATATCTGTTTTCTGAAGGTGAAATTAATTAATCCATCAACTAAGACCTGTACTACCATCCTGGGCCAAGGTGAACCAGGGAACAGGTGTGGTAGTGCCACAGATGCTGCCTTTAATGAACCAGGAGGGCTGGCACTGGACCCAACTGGACAGTATTTGTACATTGCTGATACCAATAACCACTCCATCAAAGTTTATGATCTATCCACCAAGGAGGTGGCAGAGGTAGGTACATCATTTTACAAATTGGAAATAACAGTCACAACTTCAGTGCCTCTAACATGTGAATGATTGATGTGTTCTTTTTTTGTTTAAGCATTTTATATATTGAAAACAACAGAATGAGTTGTACTAGCTAGTGCACAGTAACTCCATGGGGACTCTTAGACCCCATTCCCAGAGATTAGATCGATCCAACTAGATTGACCTAACTCCCTGGGGGTTCAGGCAAAATACCTGTCAGCCGAGCGGGCACGAAAGTTAATTACCCCCTTACAGCTTGTAGTAGGCAGGACGGACATTTAAGCCAGATTATCTGGCAGTAATCTAGTGAGACTCCCCACGGGGATAGATCGATCTAAAATCTATGGGAATGCGCATTTACTGAATGCAGTCAGATTAACAGACTAACACACCTCCTGCCATTGAGTAGAATATACAGAAAGGGGTGATTATGCCAGTATGTTGGAAACAAGAAACATGCTAATCTGATTGCAATCGTCCAAAATCCCTGTTAAATTAATGCATACTAGCTAGTGAAACTGTCAACCCAACTCATTCTGAATGACAGAATCCATATGTCAGCAATTTCACGGTATTTACTTATTTAGTTTGTTTTGTAACAAAAAAATGCCTGTTTTTCATCAACACCATTTGCAAATAAAAAAGAAAAAAAAATTAATTTCAGTTCCCTGTGATATTCCCTACGCTCACAGAATTAGACTGCACTGACTCCCTTCCACAGCCAGTCTTCAAACGCCTGACCCCAGCCAGGGCAGAGCTTGTCACTCTAGAGCAGCTGAATTTGCTGGAAGGGCAGCTGTTACTGTGTCACCTCAATATACAGTTACCTGAACACTGGCACCTGACAGAGGGGGCACCCAGTGCATGGCAGATATGGCTGGAAGGTAGGTGCAGCTGTATCATTTATGTGTTTATATGGCCCTTGAAAATGGTTCATTTAGTGTTATTTGAATACAGTAGGCCTTTTTTGTGTTACATGCTTACATATGAGACAAATCATCAGAGGGCATTAGATCAGATTGTTGGACAAAATAATGGGAATGGTTTTAAAAATTAAATAATAAACTTGAAAAAGTATTCATCATTTTTTTCCCCTTTGCAGATGATGTCAATGAATGTGAATCTCCTGCTAAAGGCAGCCTGACAGACACAGTCAATCAGTCTTAAAAATTAAATAATGAATTTTAATAGGTATTCATAAGTTTTTTTCTTCACATTGTAGATGATGTCACTGAATGCGAATCTCCTGCTAAAGGCAGCCTGACGGACCTAGTCCACCAACCCTGGCTGGAGTTCAGAGGGAGGAGAACTGGGAAAACGGACATAAAACTGGAGTGCATGTTATACTATTGTGACGATATTGGGACATGTAGGATGAAAGGACTGGTTTTTGTTCAACCAGTTGTGATATTCAAAAGGGACGCCCATCCGTCAACAGAAAGCGTTCAGTCTGATTTCACATACTTGGTGCAGTGAAATCAATCTTTCAATAAATATGATACAACACGTTTTAGATATACATATTCTTTAAATATGGATGTTGCCACTGTGATACGAATATGAAAGATTTTTATACATGCACATTTATCAGCGAATATTACACAAAGGGAAAAGAAATAGGAGCAGGAGGGATCAACAGTGCGGATTTGTACGTACATATAAACCCGGTTATCTTCGTAGTGCACTGTAATTTGCTGATCCTATTAAATGATTCATTGTAGACCAATATTTGTTTACATTGTAACTGATTTATCATATGAACAGCAGTAATAATGCAATTGCAGCAATAATCACCTAAATCAGGAAAAACTTCTGTGCTTTTGACTTGGTTTACTCTACATGTAGACGTCACGGCTAGAAAGTCACGTTGCATATCATTTAAGCATGTAGGCATCTGATGGAGAAACATCATTTGGATCTTTATTTAATTTGGTCTACTTCATTTACTTCATTATTTATTTAAGATATTGATGAAGCCGTTTCTCTTTTTTGTGCAGTTTAGTGATCAATTAATGTGAAATCGCATCGATTACAAGATCTGCGTTAACCGCTTTACGAAATGACACAATATTTTTGGAACCAAAACTTGAAACTGAGCATTGATGAAGGGGCCGGGATATTATGATAATAGTGAAATCAGTTATAGGCAATTAGGTTCAAATGTATCGAATTTTTCTGGAATTTCAGAAATTGCGCAAAGCCTTTGTTCAGGTTTGCTGTTAATCTGTTAACGGGGCAGCAGCGGTAACAACAAGTTAGCTTGTTTCCAACAGACCATCGATTATCAATGAAGAATGTTCTCGATCACATAACTTTTCCCAAACTGCTCAATGGGCGAGTGCTTGATGTATCGATTCCTATGGTCTTTATTGTTTCCGCACAGAGTTTACAGACTAAGTGATAAGTGTTTTGAAGGTTTTAAAGAACGTGCAAGTTTGTTCACATCTCATGTTTTACGTGCCAAAAGAGAGTGAAGATGGAAAGAAACGGGAGTTTAAAACATAGGAAAATTATCTACACGGATAGTATTCGTAAAGATAAACCAAGTTCACTTAAGTATGAAGTTCTGGTGTACGCAGACAACTACACAGAAAATTTGGCGGAGTCAGAATCACTTATCACCTTATTTGGTAACCATGAACGCAAGGAGACGTGGACTTTTCATCGACAGGGGAAGGTTACTAGGATGGAAATCGAGACGTTTAAAAATTTAGGGAGTCCAGAAAGAATGCAGATTGTACCGAAGGGTTCTGGCCATTTGTGGTTTTTGGAGAAAATCCTAGTTGTAGATCTCCAAAACAGTAACTTATTTGAATTCGGACCATCTTCTTGGATAGACGATTCCTCGCCCAGTTTCAACTTTCAACTGCTAAGAAAAATCGAGAAACCAAACAAAAGAGAGCATGCCAGTGATCCTCAGCTTGATATTTTAAACTGTCAGATAATTTTGGACTCAATTTTGAGTCAAAATCAAGAAGAACTAGAACGCACGCTTTCAAAGAGACGCTCGACCAATGTAAATGTCCCTTTGCATGGAACAGAAGATCGTCTGCTTCACGCAGCAGTGTGCACGGGCAACGTAAACATTGTAAAGGCGTTACTCAGTCACGCTGATATAGATGTCAATGTTCACGGTACCCAGGGCCTCACGCCATTACATACTGCCAGCTCTCTCACAGATGGCAACCTCATCGTCACATTGTTGGTAGAAGCCGGTGCGAACATTGAGGCCAGAGATGAGAGTGGCTGCACACCACTGGCGCTTGCTGTGTTACGTGGTAACCTTCAGTCAGTGCAAGCTATTCTAAGTAACGGTGCGCGTTTTGACACAACAAATGATGAGAACAAAAATATCCTACATCTAGCTGTCACAAACCCAGAGCTTCTGCACTTCTTGTTACAAAAACAAGAAGCAAAACCTTTATTAAAGAGATTTGACAAGGTTGGCTGCACCCCCATTCATTACGCTGCCAGGGAAAGCGCTGAAGCTGTTCGTTTGATACTGCAATATGGGGGGGACATCTGCGACCGTGATGGCTACGGCAGGTATGCTATTCACTACACCTCTGACACAGTCGTTACGGGATGCTTAAAAGAATTAGTCCACGGAGGTGCTGTTGTCAACTGCGAGGACGACTTTAAGAACAGGCCATTGCACCTAGCGTGTTCTGCTGGAAATGCCGCCATGGTGAAAGCTCTGATCAAATTTAAGGCCTCCGTATCTCAGAACATAAAAGGGGAGTCTCCTCTTCATTTGGCAGCAAAGTCGGGAAGTTTAGATTGCGTTACAGAACTCCTAAATGTATTTTCCTCCTCATTGGATATGATCGATTGTGAAGGGGACACAGCTCTCCATGTATCCGCCCGTCAAGGCCACGTTCAGCTCGTGAAAGCTCTTTTGGACCAGGGGTGCAGGGTTAGTTACAACTGGCATAGACAAAACGTCTTGGATGTCGCTATGGTTGCAGGCAATGAAGATGTTGTACTGCTTTTGGCGTCACGACCTGATTGGGCAAGGTAAGCAACTATATTGCATTGATTTCTACTTCTGTTTTGCATTTTTGAAGGATGGTAATCAATAAACAAACGAAACTTGTTGGTCATCTTACAGATGTAAATTGAAAAGTATTTACAACCTTTCTTTTTTCTTAGTTTTCACAATATTAAACATGCGCTGCACACCTATTTTCATAATCCATCACGCCTTGTCTTTTAGATTCCTGCGTTTGCCAAACAGCCCTGACGGCCACCCTCAACTGCCAGAAATAATGCAGAAAATGCCGGACGCCGCAGAAAAATTTCTAGATCAGTTCGTCACCCAGGAAGAGGAGAAACAAGAAAAAGATTCCAATCCGCTGATTAAGCTGTTCGATCACGCACGAAAAAAGGGTTTACGAATCAAAACTATATTTGAGCGATTGGATACCAACAATAGTGGATCGTTGTCTCGAGACGAAATCCGACAAGGATTGCAGATGATGGGGACCGATTTCCAAGAGGAGGAAGTTGACCAAATTATTACCACTTTCGATCGTAATGGTGACGGGGAAATAAACTTGCGTGAATTATACGATAAACTTCCCCAGGGTAATACGTCTTCCTTTCGCCAGAAGAAATTCCAGCGCTTTCGTTACGACTTCAGGTATCTGAAAGGCCACGGTGACAATACTCCACTTAAAGCTTTGATCAAGATGGACGCGGTTGAAAACGCTACGTACGTACGATGCATGCACCACCCCGTGGTCGAAAAGCTAGTGGCGGTCAGTTGGCAGAAGTTTGGAGTGTATGTCTACTTCTTGAATTTCTTCACATTTGTGGTGTTTTTGTGCCTACTGACCTCTTTGATAGTTATGGAAACGGATATTCATTACTTGAATATTACCCATAATCTAAATAGCACCTCCGAGAAATATGCGGAAGTGTTGCACGGAGGGAATTACCACACCGCTCTGGCAACAATTGTCATGGCAACCATACTTATCCAGATGATAAAAGAACTGTGTCAATTGAAAGTCCAGGGAATAACAGCATACATGGAGTTTGACAATTTTATAGAATGGGCCTTATATATCACAAGTTTTCTTTTCACTCTCGGGGCACTTGGTGAGTTTTTACCAAAAGATTATTTCAGCGATGATGTCCGAATGCAGCTGGGTTCCGTAGCAGTCTTCTTGGCGTGGTTGGATTTTGTTCTGTTTCTAGAACTCATCCCAGTCTTTGGTATATACGTCCATATGATCAAGATACTACTGGGTACCCTTCTCAAAGTCATTTGGATATTGCTTACGTTTGTAATAGCGTTTGGGTTGGCGTTTTACGCCCTCAAGAACTCGATCACCATGTTTCAAACGGCTGGCGTTTCGATTATAACAGTAGGTTTGATGAGCTTCGGCGAGCTCGGTTACCATGAGAACTTTATCAATAGGACGCAACAGTACGATTTAGGTGTAGTTATGTTGATAATCTTTTGTTTACTAGTTGTGATCATCCTGAACAACCTGCTCATTGGTCTAGCTGTAGGAGATGTGGAGGCAGTGCGGCACATAGCTCAGATGAAACAGCAAATAATGTCCATAGAGCTTTACCTCCATCTAAGTGACTCATGGCTGGCCCAACTTCTAAAAAGTCGAGTCAGTCTCGATGAATACTTTGAGAACCGTGAGATACGAAAGAAGCGGGATGTATGGGAAATGCTTAAACCAATTTTAGAAATCGGCCTAAATGAACATGAAAATGAAGAGGCAAACGCGGATTTAAGCATCCACCAGAAACTATCTGAATTATGCACTGTTATGAAGAATATACATCAGCGTCTTGATGCAATCGAAGAAAGGTGTGACGTTAGAAAATGGTCCGAAAGAGCGCAGCACCACGAGCAGTTTCCTTCTTGTAAACCATTCCCTCAAACCCAGTGTTACATTGGATCAACTCAGCAGTCCAGCAAAGAATCAGTAGTAGTAGCTGCGACTGGAAATAGTCCACAGAATGATGAAAGTAAAATGTGGAAACCGCACAAGCAAAATAAAACAGTGACATTCGATTCAGTGCGCACACGCTACCTGTCTGGCGACAGCGCCCATACGATACACGAGGAAGACGTTGACAATTTACACAAAGGAGCCCAGATTGCCAACCAAAAACTACATGCAAAAACTGTAACCTCAGACGGACAGAATAGCGACTCGGTAGTTTTGGTGTTTGATGACGAGAACTGTGAATGCGTAGTATAATCTTGAAGTATTGACAAATTGTATTCACCTAAGGTTTTTTTTTTTTTTTTTTTTTT